ATACATGTGTTTTGTTTTGCCCCTGTAGTGTCATATATATATATATATATGTATAGATTAATCTTCCCTACGTACACTGATAGTGTATACAGTGTCAGCGTTGGATGAATGATAATGATGTAAAATGTGAATTTAAAATTTAGCTTTTATACATATGTCATAAATTCAACGATGATAATGTATACATTGTCATCAGTATATATAAGATTTACTATATATATATACATATATGCTTGAGTTACTATTTTTTATAATGTCGTGGCTTGCTTCAACAACCAACAAAGTAAGTATTGGTGCATGTTAAAATTAATTTAACAGATATATATATTATATAAATGACTCCAAGAACTATTCCCTGAATAGACAATAATCAAGGCACGATTAAGATACAGTACTGTCTACATTACAGATTTTCTTGGGTTCTATTGGAAGTTTGGGGAAGAGATGCACCGTATCAGGATATGCAGTGGTAATAAAATAAACTTCATTGCTATATATACCACGATAGATAGATAGATAGCAGAGTAGTAGCTGAAAAAAAAATCGTCCTTTTTTTTTTTTTTCTATTTTATATGAGTGATTTGAGTGCTTCTCCACACACTGATTAACATGCATGATGAAATGGATCTCAGAAGTCATCATGGTCGATCCCGATCCATTAAGGATCTTCTTTTTGTGTTGCTTTGCTGAGGAGGAATCAGATCAGACATGAAAAGCTACATCGCCCTTGAAAAAACAGATACTGCATAAATAAAAGAGAAAAGGCAAAATTAATGATGGGATGATAAAAGATTTTTAATGAATTGTTACGATCGAGTACCGCTTTCGGCTTTCTACTTTCTACCCCTACTCCATTTATAAAGTACTAGTAAGTACTGCTGCTACAGCCGGATGAATGGCCCGTGAGCCTGATGAGAAGTGAGAACCCCTCTCGCTCGGGTGAGGACACGGTTGACTAAGTGGAAGCTGATGTGCACTGCCACGCTAAACTCTTTCCAATGTGTTTTTTGTGAGTATTTTTATTTTTTCCAAAAAGACTTTTTGTAAGCATTTAGTTTTTGGATTAATCTTCTCTACACTAACAGTGTATACACTTTTATCATTAAATGCATAATATATATTGCAAATTTGAATTTGAAACTCAAATTTTACATATGTGTCATATGTTCAATCGTAATAGTAAGATTTACGTTTAGTTTTTTAACAATTCAAACAAGGTTACTAATGACAATAATACGCACATATTAATATTTTAGAGTTAGTCTTTTGGTTGGGGGGTGGAGGAGGCTGTGGAACAGTAAGATGAAAATCTTACTTAATTGATTGGAACTAGCTGCCCTTGGGTGGCCAATAAATCAAATTTCCGTTGTTCTTCTTTTAAGTATATGACATGAATGATAACAGAAAATTTTTCCTGTAACCTTTCAAATCATAAATATGCTTTTGTTCTTTTTCTTAAAATGAATTTAATTTAATTTTTTATTTTCAACAATCTTGTCTCTTTTAGTAAGTTTGAGTTACTTTGTTCAAACTAGGAGTTTTACCGGTCAATATCTTTCTTTTTTTTTTTTTTATCCAAGACCATGTCGATATCTAAATCACTCCTCAATCTTTATTTCGATCGCAATATCAATCAATCATTCAATATCTACGGCCTATTTTTCTCGGTTGCCCGATAAAATGGTTACGTTTTATTGTTTAATCCTTTCTTGAAACAGGAAATAATTCTCTTGTTCACGGAGAGACGGACATTGAAAAAACTGCAACTCAATTAATTGCATTAAAGGTTTGGATTTAAATTGACCTTATGCATGCAATACAGTACAGCTGAAGGTGAAACCCGCCATTGTCTCTGAACAACAATTTGAAGGAAACAGTGCTGCTAGATGGACAAACTCTTGTGATTGGAAGCGGGGAACTTAATTTGGGCCTGTTTTCAGAAAAAGATTAAGCCCAATTTTGGAAACGTTAGTCACGAGCCTATGATTTCCATGTGGGCCGTCTATTCCTGCTCTTTATTTATTCTTTTTGGGATTCAAAGGAATAATGAGTGCCGCTCTTTTTTCTTTTTCTTTCTTTTTTTTTTGGGGGAGGAAAAGGAATAATGTTGACGGGAAAAAAAAAGTAGCAGATGAAGTAAGAACTGTGGTAGGCATGAGCGAAGTTGCCGTCCAAGGAGAGATGACTGCTGCAGCCGCGAAAGAAACTCGGGCTGAAAGAGAAAGGGTTCACGGGCGGAGGGGGTGTTGGGTCAAAAATGGAGCACGGCAATTAAGATGGGATACAAGGGAGGTGCCGGTAGCCAGGGTGAAAAAACTAGTACCATTAAAAAAATTTGTCACCCACTGTCACCATCCTATCCTGTTTCCACAAAATTGTCACGAGTTCGAAATTTTGGAGTGTATTTCGGGCTGAGAAAGAACTGAATAGGGCGATTCATGGAACTGCCTGCCTTTAGTCAGTACAGAATAAGCACTCTCTCATGAAGCAGCAGCAAGCTAAGCCATAGATGGTCCGGAACAATTTCCAGCTAGCTGTTGAAATTATGATTGGCCAGTTAGTATGATCCCCTGACCAATCAAAAAGGCCAGCCTGGTTGCATGACTCGCGGCGGTGCCTCATGTGATCATATTTGTCCTACTTTCACTCGCGGCGGTGCTTCTTCACATGCCACATTTTGCCCTATTTGACGGGGAGATAGCATAGAATTTGATTTCGTTTTGGCATTTCCACTTCACGGGGGCTCTTCATGCACTTCCCTTTCTTTCCCTTTATAGCTGCAGCAGGCTAGGTAAAATCAAAATGTGCTACTACTACGTACTGCTTAGCCAAAAAGAAGAGCACGATCCACCTTAATTGCAGCTAGCTTATGGTAACTATATAGTACATCTACAAACAGCAATAACAAGCAACTACTACAGCAATGATAATCACAAGAAAAAGTTTTTGATAATATTCTTCTTCATTTTTTCCTTCGTTCGAAAAGCTAGCAAAATAATTTTGATTGACGAAAATGCTACGTTTCGTTCTGTGATTATCATCGCTGTTGCAAAGTCCCTATTAGTAAATCATTATGGAAGAGGAGGCATGGCAGTTAGGTGGGAAAAAGGAGTGTTTGCCTCTTTTAGAACATCATTGGTTGTAATTCTCTCAATCAAAGCAAAAAAATTATTACCCCAAATGCACGTTGAGAGAAATGAATGAACAAAATGCCGTACAAACTAAGTATTTGTGAATCATTAATTATTCGGATTTATATAGATGGTCGATAATGATGATCCTAGGTTAAATATATGCCAAGCGATGCAAGTACATTTAATGGGGAACAGACGAAGACACCAAGTTCTAATTAAGAAAATTGACCGCACCAAACTCACTAAACCGTCTTTCAGGCCGCTTGCCCCTATATTTCAGACTCTGCGTTATTTGAATCCATCTCATCCAATTCCAATACTCTCTCTGGTCTCTAGACCGCGATGGCTGTTAAACAATTCAAAAAACAAAACCGCATCTTCCCAAACTGTTCACCATTAATATTAGCAGATACAATGACTCTTCCATGCTTGCATAAGAAGTTAACCGGAAACCGGATACAGAAGGTACAGGCACGGCAATCGCATATTTTTTGGCATTGAATTATGACTATTTATAGAAGCAACGGGAAATGCATGAGAATGAGATGTGGAGAGCAGTACGAGAAGTGCTAGCTCAAGCAGTCTTAGTGTGATCATATCATCTTTCCCAATTTTCAGTCGTTGATCTTGATCGATCATCCCAAGATGCCGATCAATCGGAAGGCCCCAGGAGGCCGCTCACCCAGACGCTCTCAAGGCAGCGCTGGCCGAGTTCATTTCTACCCTAATCTTTGTGTTTGCAGGTGAAGGGTCAGGCATGGAGTTTAGCAAGCTGACCAACAATGCAGCCAACACCCCTTCCGGCCTCACCTTTGGTGCCTTTGTTGGCGGTAATATAACATTACCCTTCTACGCGGTATCCTGTACTGGATTGCTCAGTTGCTTGGCTTCGTCGTGGCTTGCTTGCTTCTTAAGCTCGCCACCGGTGGCTTGGTGAGTTAGGTCTTTCCGGCTATCATTGCATGGCATCGAGGAAAACTCTTACGCACAGTCGCACACCCCTGCATACCTTCCTTTTCACGATCATCAAACAAAAAAAAAAAAAAAACAACAGATTAAAGCTCAGTGTCTCTGATATCTGTTCACACTCGCGGTTAAGTTTATTCATTTTATTTTCTTTGGCAGGAAACTACTGCATTTTCTTTGTCCGCCGGAGTTGGCGTGTGGAACGCATTACTATTGGAGACTGTGATGACAATTGGACTGGTGTACACGGTGTACGCCACCGCCGGAGTTGGCTATTGGTTTCATCGTGGGTGCCAGCATCTTGGTTGGTGGGGCCTTTGATGATGGGTCAATGAACCCAGCAGTGGTCAGCTGGACCTGGGAGAACCACTGGGTCTACTGGGCCGGTCCTCTCATAGGTGGTGGCCTTGCTGGACTCGTATATGAGCTCTTCTTTATCCCCCAGTCCCACGAGGAGTTGCCCACAACTGACTATTGAGGACCGAAAGCGCGAAGACGATTGTTTAAACTCCTCCCTCAGTTTTTTTTTTTCTCGTGCTTGTTCTTGTTGTAAGGGTTTATTCCTTGTTCTTTAATTTTTCCAAAGAACTTCATTTGGAATTGGATCGTCGCAGATCGAGTGTTGGTTGTGGTATTTGTGGTGGTCGGGTTGTATTATTCCATGAGGATGATCATATCGGCCCGAATAATCCGAGGCCTCATACTCTGATACCTCCTGAGGCTCAACCTCGGCACGTTACTTATCGAGGTGATCGTAGCCTGTGTGTCACCTCGGCTGCTATCTTCAGGCCATTAGCTGAGGTGACAGTTGATTGCTGGATACCTACAAAAGATAGGAAATGACACTTGACATGTCGACGTCTGATGGACAGCTGCTCTGACACACGCCGCCTGAATCTGACGAGTGTCCAATCAAACCCTTTCATAAAGACCAGTCAAATCCGTCAGATGCACTGACCATCTCCGATCTCTAGAGACCCGTGCGGCCAGTCCTTCTTCCCAACAAATTCCCTATAAATACCCAACGTATCTACCAAGAGGGGGGATGACCAATTTTCTGGTAAAACATACTACTCTTCTCTATTACTACATTACCTCTTCACTACCGAACTAACTTAAGTTTCGGAGTTATACCGGGGGACCCAGCCCCTCTTTCAACCTCAGGAGGTGATCTCGTCCCAGTGAACTATCCAAAATAGAGCCCCTCCTCAAATTGGAAGGTTCATTCCAGCGGGACTGGAATCACCTCTTCATTCTACTTTTCACCTGTTTTTGCATTTTGAAACCATTTTCTTTCAATGCTTCTCCGATGTTCCCCTGCACTTATGAAGGGATACCGTTAACGGCGGCACGATCTTTCATCTCTAATCCCGGTGTAATGTATCGCCATGCTGTTGAATATTTTGATTTAAGATCTTTTCTTTTTAAGAGGTGGAATAGAATAATTCGATTGAAACGCAATGATCATACGTCTGTGATATATTGTATGTTTCATAATAGGTCCCATGTACTGCCCTTTCTATCCAAAGAAAGAATTCGACCCAATGCGTTGTTTCTGTCCAATCTTTTCAATTACCATCAGAACTCAGAAGTGGAAAGAGAGAGAGAAGGATCAATAAAGGAGAACAGAAGAGGAGGTTTCATGGAACCATACCAAAGTGAATAAAATAGTGGTGCATTCGTTCCAGGTCACTTTATCTCTTCACACGTTCTGCGCAAAGCGAACGTTCGACCAAAGATGCCGAGCGATAGTAGTAGTATCAATACTCAAAGAGATAGACAACGTGGATGGCGGTGATAAGTTATTCTGAGTTCGAACTTTGAAGTAGAGCAAGAAGGGGTCTCCACATTATTCTGAGTTTTCACCACTTTACCACCATTCCGTGTTGGGGGATTCGCAGATGAAAGCAACAGCCGTCAAAAGAGATTCAGTAGCGACCGAAATTCGACGAAATTTCACAGCAATCTCCTGTTAATTGATTGTAGCCATCAGAGGATTCCTCCCAGTTGTTGTTCCAAGGTGAATATGGTGCCATATTCTTTTGCTCCCTTATCTTGTACAAATAGCTCAATCCATGGAAAGTGCATGTATTCGCCAACCAGGAATTACAGCTTTCCAGCTGACCTTTTTTATTTTTTTTTTTTCAACCCACTACTGACGTTCCTCCGTCGTCCTGGCAAATAATACAATTTTTTTTTGTTTTTGGAAAAAAAAAATTCTCTAGGCAGAAGCCATTAAAGCAAACTTGTTAGTTGTGGGAGGTTTTTTGTACAAATATACGATTTTGTCTTGGAGTCGCTCAATTGCCGCCCCTAAATTCTTGACTGTACGATGGTTTATTCTTCCTTTGCCTCTCGCTCTTTACCTTTCTGGGGAAATTCTCATTCTCAAGTGTACAGTGTGAATTGCAAATTGCCAGCATCCAGGATCCAAATTGCGGTCATCGATGTGGTCTCTCAGAAGATTCGATTTCTGATCCTGAGGATCGTAGCATTACGCAAGCAGCAGCAGCCAAGTGGACCCAGTCCTCTTCAGATCTGACGTTTTTTTTTTTTTTGGATAGAAAGATCAGAGACAGACCCTATCCATCCATTCCGTTCCTCGAACCAGCTTGTCTCCTTTCCTTCCTTCTACATCTGTCAAAATAGGTGGCTCGAAGAGGGTTTGAACGGTCATGCTGAGTAACACACTATAATTGAGTTAATTTATTTATGAGTAAAATTTATATATAATAAATTTTGAATTTTAAATTTAAATTTTATATATGTATTATATATCTAATAATGATAATATGTATACTGATAGTGTATATAATATTAATTCTTTATTATTTATATTCATTTAAAAAATAGATAGGAATATATTCAATTATTCATTTATGATTCACATGAAATTTTACCTTTTTCTAATTTTTGCATGTTATTTGACACGAAATAATGACATCTTATTGTTATTAGATCGACAAGAAATTCATATTTATTTGCTTAATATTCACTAAAAATTAAGTTTAAATATATAGTTATTTCCAAATAAGTATAAATGAATGAATCAAATCAATTCACTGTCCATCAATTAAATAAGTTTAATTGAATAACTATCTAGATCCATTCAAAATTCATTTGATACCAAAATTCATTTATTAATTGACAGATTAACATAATTGAACTGTGGTTCACACGTCTGTTTGGTTCAAAGCCCGCCCACCCCCACTAGAATCCAGCTTTACTGCTTTCCCTGAAATACCTGCCAAGTTCTTACATACATAAAGAAGAAAAAAGGTGCTTAACATTTTTTTTTTATTTCATCCACTAACTTCATAAGTATTTCTTTCAAACGGCATATTAATTGCATGCGTATACCTCATGCTAAGGAAAGTCGTGTATTATAAATACAATTTCAAAATTTCAAAATAAATATTAATAACACTTTACTTTTTATAATGACATTCCCACTATCATTATTATTAAATAGTTTAATTTTCATTTATTAGACCATATAATAAAAAAAAGATAGTGAGAATGCCGTTATAAAAAGAAAAATAGAATTCACTAAACATTTCTCAAATTTCAAAATAAACAAAACTTAGGATATAGGCTAATAAAAAAATGAAAAATGGATCAAAACGTCTCTTACATTTGGCCAAATGATTTTTTTTTTGTCTTTCATTTTTAAAATAGTAACTTTGTGTCTCTTACAAAATCAAATTGATAAATTTTAGTCCCAACCTAGATTTTTATTACGCTTTGCCTGAATCCATCACATGATTCATACATAGTTTTTTTTTTTTGAGAAAAAAGGTTAGATTTCATTTATAATTAAATAAATGACCCGATTTATATTCATTTTTGTCCTTAAAAAATTAAAAATTGATTTAAACCTCATTCATTTTTGAAAATTTTTTTTGAGATTTGTCCTAATCCATATTCATTTTATCACTTAAAAAATAATTTTGATTTTTTGCATATAAAAAATGACTGCATATGGGTCACATAGTAATTTTAGACTAAAAATTTGTTAAAAATCTAGTTTGAATTAAAATTTGCTAAACTAAATTTGTAAGGAACATAAAATTAATATTTTAAATGTAAATGATGAAAAATTTCTTTTAACAAAATATTCGACGCGTTTGAACGATTTTTCCTTTAAAATTTGAACCAGACGTGGATTTTTCCACCAGCGTATTGAACATTTGAACTGCAGCTGGCAATTAGCATCTTAAAGGTGCTTTGGACCGTCCAGTAAGGGTATATATATATAGACCACGGACCACCAGTCCTCACATGCAAAGGCCATCCATCGGCAGGGCATATCTAGGTGAGACTGTGGGATCGATTTGAGAAATTCTAGTACAGTTAAAAAAAAAAAACTCAACATCCCAATCTAAGCACTGCTTTAACCACGGGTGGTTTCTTCCTCCTTCTGCGGAAATAAAATTGCTCCTCCTGCTCCTGTGCTTGATCATCTACGGCGTCGTTTCAGGTGGTTAAAACTGGCTGCATTATTTTCTCCTTGGGTTACATTCCACTGCACGATAATGCAAAACTAGCATGGCCCCATCTTGTCCATCAATTATTGGTGCTAAACTCGTCAGATTGTCTGAATCTATTAACGCCTCGACGCTTCTGTTCTGTCTCTTGTTTTTGTATATATATTATACACCAGTCAATTAATATGGTAATCTTTTTGGATTCTTCAGGTGTCTAATCCAATCCAAGAAACAATGGAGAGTAGTGGATCGAAGCATCAGAGCATTTCTCATTCATCTCGCACTGATGAGTCCTTAATGGAGATGGCTTCTGGACCCTACGGGTATTCACTCTTCTTTTCCTTCATTTTGATCCTCCAATGTTTTTTCTTCTGTCCTTGGGATTTGTACGGCCCATTACGCTAAATTGTAATCCCGCGGGGTGACATGATTGCTAATGTTGAGAGTTGTTTATAATGATCCCTGTTCAGGTGCTCACACTACAAAAGGAGATGTAAGATAAGAGCACCTTGCTGTGATGAGATTTTTGACTGTAGGCATTGCCACGACGAATTAAAGGTGCCCTTTTCTATTAATTTTACGGTTATCTTATTTTAATGTGATTGAATATTAGTAGCTAGTATCTCGTTTAGTGCAGGCCCCAAAAAAAAAATTTTAATGGTCAATTGATTCTTGAACAGAATTCCATTGAAGTTGATCCTTTGAGAAGGCATGATATTCCTCGCCATGAGATTAAAAGGGTTAGCTCATCTTTAAATTCTCTGCTTTATTAGCACACTAGCCCTTTTATGTGAATTTTTTTTTTTGGGCTCGCCTTTGGTTCTTTATTAGTTTTTCTGATTTCTTTCCAATAAACTTTGTTGTTTAGAAAGGAAAGGAAAGAAACAATGCTTCATTGCTACACTTTCTTCCTTCTAAGTTTGGAAAAAAGAGGGAATTTTATCTTTTCTTTTCTTTTTTCTCTGACTGTTTCTGATCACAAGAATTTTGTCACCTTTCGTGTTCAACCTTTTATTTTTCCTTTGCTCATCTGCATGTGGATAAGTTGTGGCTTGTATCGCAGAATGCTTGCTGTATTGGATGAGGCTTTGTTACTCTCATTTATGAATTTGCACTTTATTGTCTTGTGGTATCACAATCGTGTCTCTGTTGTGATTATCCTGTCTTTGTTGTATTAATATATTCTTTTCCCAATGTAATTCATTAATCTATACTGTTAAAGCGTCCTGTTTCTCTTTTGGTATTAGTTCCTATGGGTGCTCGTTCTATTGAACTAAGTACGTGTAGCAATGCTGATTTTTTTTTCTTTTCAGGTCATTTGCTCCTTGTGCAATACAGAACAAGATGTAAGTTTCTTTCTCCAAACTCCAAATTTGTAGTGGCACTGAATAATTCTTGTAGTTTTCTTGTCGAGATGGAGTAAGAAATTGTTGATGGACTGTATTCCAAGAGGACGATATAGTTGTGAAAACAAAGACTAGTTCACATGTCTGGATTCGAAAATAGAAAAGGAAGCAGTAGTTTTGACTTTGCTTGGTCTGCAGGTTCAACAAAAATGTGTCAAGTGTGGAATTTGTATGGGAGAGTACTTTTGCTCAATATGCAACTTCTTTGATGACGATGTAAGCGTTATTTATGCATTTGCTTTCCAAAGTTCAAGGTTTGCTTATTGTGTTTTGTTCAAGTGATTTGGTTTCCTTGTCTAGGTCTCAAAGAATCAATACCACTGTGACAGATGTGGAATCTGCAGGTTAAAATCTTTCGCCTGTTCAAGCGTCTCTTTTCATTCCAAATGAATCCTCTAAGTTCACAATAAGCTTTTGATTTTACCTGGTGACTTGCACACTGATCAAACAATTTGGCCTCTGATTCTAAAGCTGTGTTCCCTGAGTCACCTCTAATTTGTGTAGTGGTTGCAGAACCATATCAATTGTACAAATGCAATTATTGCTGGAACGCATCATTGCATATGTGATTTGTTTTCCTAATAGCTTCTCAGGATTTCGCTAGTTTACTCACGCCTATAGTCATTTCCTATTTTTATTTCACGCCATTCTCTTCAATTTAAAATATTTTATTTTTTTTAACCACAGGACTGGAGGTAAAGAGAACTTCTTTCATTGCAATGGATGTGGTAAGCGAGATCATGAATGGAACAATATTTGAATTTAACTACATTTTCAAATCAGTTATGCAAGATATTTCTTTGTGTTTCAGGGTGTTGCTATTCAAATCAGTTAAAGGATTCACATACTTGCATAGAACGAGCCATGCACCACAACTGCCCTGTTTGCTTCGAGGTAATCATGAAACTAATATGTACAATGATAGAAAGTTGGTCGGATTACTTTGTTTATGATTTATTCTTTTCTCGTGCAGTACCTTTTTGATACTACCAAAGAGATTACAGTCCTGTTTTGTGGTCACACCATACATCTTGATTGTGTGAAGGAGATGGAAAGGCATTTCAAGTAAGATTTCTTCCCTGCGGATATATTATTTCATGAAACATCCATTACTCCCGACAACCAATGTCTTATTGAACACGTCCCTTGCTGGAAATCAATTCTGCAGGTACTCATGTCCTGTTTGCTCAAAATCATATTGCGATATGTCTCGTGTGTGGGAAAAGCTTGATGAGGAGGTACTACCAGTGTTGTGGTTACTGACATTTACGTGGCAAATATGTCTTTTAATCGGGCGTTACCCTAAACTGACAATCACTTGTCAATGTTTGATGCCCAGGTTGCTTCTACAGCGATGCCTCAAATTTATAGAGATAAGATGGTACTACTTTTTTTTTTTGTTTTTGTCAAATTTACAGCTGCTGTTGCTGGGATTATGCTGTTGTAATCTAAGCATGATTTTTGCAATCGGTTAGGTTTGGATCCTCTGCAATGACTGTGGAGAAACGTCTGAGGTGAACTTCCACATTGTGGCGCACAAGTGTCTGAAATGCAGCTCATATAATACGAGGCAGACAAGAGGAGGACCGGCTTCGTGCTCATCAAGGATCCAAGAGATGGTTGGATGACCGATTTCTTGGTCACCGTAGTCTGCTCCAAGTTATCCGTTATATTCGACTTTGTAAAACGAGATATTATTTTGACTTTCAAAAAAGAAAAAAAGATTAATTTAATCACAGAGTCTGTAAATTTCCGCTGAAGCATATTTGATTGTTGTAGTCTTGTAATCGCTTGCATCAACCTTCCAGATGGAGCCCGGAAGGGAAAAAAGAATAACAAATTGAAACATGCATAATAGACATGA